TAACTCTCCTGTCATTTCAGATCCCGCCTTCCTCCAGGCCCTTGTAATCAGCTTACTTCCCTCACCTGGTCTCCCCAGCCCTTCCCCTCACCTGTTACTCATTCCCTCATCACTCCACAGTATTTATACCACCTCACTATCACTTGTCCTTTGCCAGTTTTTCTTGTCGTTTCCACCAAGCTCTCCAGTGAGTGATGTTCTCTAGCCTAGATTTTTGTCCTACCCGGAATTGTGAAAAAATTGCTTCTCACTGTTCTCAGGTCAAATATTTATATGTGATTAAAAATGCGATTAATTGCGATTAATTAATTACAAAGCCTGTAATTAATTAGATTAATTTTTTTAATCGAGTCCCGGCCCTAATTTATATTATACAAAAATAAAGATCTTTTTGAACAATAAAGCATGGAACCATGTCACAGTAGAGACACAACACAAATATGAAACCTGACAATGAGTATAATACGTCCTCTTCAAAAAAGCAGCAGCACTCAAAACATCAAGCAATCGTCCTGTTCCAAAGTGGCATGTGTTGATTGGCAATGCCAGTACTAGTATTTGAATTAGAAAAATACAAAGACAGAGAGCGATGCGAGTGGTTTGTGGAAGAGATTTGTCCTTGGGATTTTTCTTAGAAACTTTGAAAACAATCTTTTTATATAACATTTTTTACATCAATTTTGGAATTAAAAACCTTGTTTCATTTGAATAATGCATAATAACATAAATGATTTGATATTCCATGAGTAGTAAGTTTCAGGGTTGTTATTCAATTATTGTCACAAGGGCATATTGCCAGTTCAATCCTCATGGGCACTCAGGCTGAATCGACCCGGATGAAAGATGCATGGCCTTTCAAGGCAATTCTTCTACAGAAAGACATGAGTCTATGCCCGCTTTTTACACTTGTGTTACTGAGAAGGACAAAGACGAGAGGTATTGAATTAACCTCTGATAATGTGTTTACTAACCCACAAGGCAAAGTCGTTGAAGTTTGTTTTTATTGAATAAATAGTTCATTTGTAGCGCATTTAAAAAAGGCATTTGAGTACAGTTTTCTTCACCCAAATGAATCCTGAGTAATCAGTTTGTCCAGGTGTATATCAATACCAATAGCCTTAGCAATGGTCATGTTCTTCTTAGCAACGGTGTATTAGCGAGTATTAACAACCTCTGAAAGGTCCAAATTGAACAATCAGCATTGTATATTTGTATAATTGTATTTTTGTATTCGGGATTGTTGGAAACGTTATTTCGATCTCTCTGTCTGTACACACAAACTGAAAGATTGACATTAAAGTTGACTTTTGATTATTCAAGGTATTAACCCTAAAATAGCTGAAAAAAATAGATTATTTAAAATGAAAAGTAACTGGTTTGCAGTGGAATTCATGGTACGTCAAGACACCTGCATACAATAGATGTATTACCTATTGGAAAGCACACCATCAGGAACACATTTTCTCCCCACAAGCCTCTCAAACGAATGGTTAATTAAGGCCACTTCAATATAAAGCAGAGGCAGAGAATGACTCCAGGTTATCATTAAATACTGACCTTTCACTTCATAACTCCAACATTGCTATTTTCTCCTTGCTCTCGCCCTCCCCTCCACTCCACGGGCTTATTGCCAGTGGGAACATATGTTATTATATCACTTAGTACACTCACAAAGGATTAAGTCACATAAACCCACAGAATATGTAGTGCCACATACTGACTCACATACGTAGAAATATGGACAATCCGCTGTGCTGGATTTTCAT